ATCTTTCCACCATTCCACGTAATGCGTAGATGCATTAGTACCACCGCTACGGACTGTCGAACGGCCTATCGCTCTGGGGACCCGGGATCGAATCCGAAAGGGTCAAAAAAATACCCAGGAACTTTTCGGGGATGGGCTGGTCACGGGGCGAAAAATTTTTTTAAAAAAAAAGTACCGCTGCTACGTTTACGCTAGAATAAACTAAATATGTCGGAAAAAGGAAGATGTGTAAATGGCGCAGTAGACATTTAGAATAAAATTTTCCCTCTATGCTAAGCATGTTGGCGGAATGGAATCATTTTAATTAAGAAGATTAATCGTAACGTACAAAGAGTAAAATCCAACATTACGTCAATGAACGAAAAAACAGCTTTATTTTGCTATAGTATACATTTAAAACGATCCGCTCAGGGTGCAGGGTGGAAAGCGCTGGTGGAATATACGCGCTTGTTTCCGGAGCATTTCGTCTCGTTTTCCCATAAAATATAATAATTACTGGAAAACAAGAACGAGGCATTCTCTGGGTGCTCTACCAATTAGTAGACTGCTCTTTTATAAGGACACCGGCGTCACGTGTCGCCATCTCATTTGTCCACATTTCGTTTTTAATTTTAATCCGTCCGGCAAAATTTACGTATTGTCACCGAACTTTCACACGATTTTACCTTTTTCCTCGCGAACGAATTACGATGTCTTACGCATCATTGTTTTCAACAGCCGAGTAATTGGCATTCCAATGTTATCTAATTTCGTGAATTTTCGTAATAGTTTTCAGTCCAGTCATAATTTTTACCACTCTGATTGTAATGGATAAAACTCGAGTACGTATCTCTTGGCCTTCGTCTTAACAAGTTAAGTTTAACTCCGATATTTTCAGTAGCACCTGAAAATTTTTAACACGCTGATAATACGAGAGTAAACGGCACTTAAGGCTTCTTCGTCGGGTTTGAATTACTTCCGTTTGATATCTTTGTTAATAATTAATTAAAACAACTGTAAAATGTGTTATAAGTGACATTTTACTATAAACATTTTATCAGTAAAAATGCTGTTGGAGTATTCTGATAATAGATTTAAGATATAACACTTTTTGACAGCAATTTATCATTGTATTCTTTTAGATAGAATAGTACTCCTCGTCGATAACTTTCTTTTAAATTAATAATAAACCGAATGTCGGGTCCCGTCCCTCACGCCCGACCAGTTCCAGCGTGGGGTGGGCACCGAGACGGTCTTTTTGAATCGACCACAACGCGCCGGCTAAAAGACCCTCTGAGGTTCCCCGGCGCAGAAAAAGGAAAAACAACCAAATTCTCTTATTTTAAATGTACTAAAACCGTACGATATTTTTTCGCACATTATAAAATCTGTTTAGGCCCGCGATGGAGCCGAAAGGGATTAATTATTCCATCCGCAATTGTACTCATTTAATATTTTTAAAAACTTCGTAGGGTAGACTCTGGCCAATCCGGCCTCTTAATTATTCGACGTACCCTTCGGCGCGATTGCCTAGTCGTTTTCGCTTTTACGAAAATGTTAGTCACAAATACTTTCCTCTTTTATTTCTTTCCTCAAAATCGAGAGCCACATTACTTACCAGCTGGTCCGCATAAAGCATCGGTAGCAAAGGGCACCACATTTGCCTTCCCTTTAGGCCTATAAACTTTTAGTAATCAGGCATTCCTTTGTTCGACCGGTAGCCTAGGTAAGCGTAAACACCAAAATGTAACAAATAAGGTGTTTTGTTAACTCTATTGTTTAGAACAACGGTTCCCAACCTTTTTCGGGTGGCGACCCCCTTTTTATGAAAGCTAAGTGACCCGCGACCCCGATACAATTGAAAAAGGTATTTTTAATAAGGTAATTAAAAAAACAATGAAATTAGTTTTTTAGTATAATTTTATTTTAAATTATGTTTAATAATTAATTTAATGAGATGGTTGAAATTGCATGTATTATTAACCAGCCTCAAAATTCGCGGGTGAGATTTTGTTAACGCCAACCTCATGTCATTCTCAACATTTAATTTATTCCTCTCAAAACTCTCAACACATGTTTCAACCAACTGTGACAGAATAG